TACCAGATGTTATAGTTGTTATAAGTTGAAATAACTTAGGATGTACTGATTTAATGAGTTTGACGACTCACTTGATCGCCTAAATTTATACACGCCATCGCCGGACGCAAAACTTTAATGCGCTGTTTCAGAGATGATGTATCGAAAACTGATGATCTTCTGATCATCATCAATACTGTTGATTAGTTATAAGATTGACGAATATTGCTTCCACTACCTTATGAGAATTCATAACATTAAAAATCTGTTCAATGCAAAGTCGTTTTCTTCAAAATCCTTCGTGCTGCTTCTTCGCTTTCATAATTGACCATAAGCTAAATCTGGAAGCTATTCACTTCACAAGTCAGCTAAAGAACGACTGAAGTGACAAAGCAAACAAGTTTACCAATTTCTCTAGATAGTGACGACGAATCGATCACGATTGGATAACGAGCAGAAAGATACTATCGATGCCGGAAGCGGACGATTGCGAAAAGTCACAAGCGCGAAGTCATGTTGGATCTCGTAGACAAAACGGGATAGGCGCTCGAGGACAGCGAGAGAAGAACAGGTCTTCAGGCGCCCAGCAACAACCGATGCAGCCGAAAGCGCAACGCTCCCATACAATCTCGAAACAAGTCCTTTTAGCTTACGAATGGCCACCCAACCTCACATATCCACGCTTTTCTGCTTGTCGCTAACATTATGGGCCGCAGTTTCATCGTATACGGTTGCGGCCATTCTCAACAAAAACCTCGCATTTATATTTTGCTGTTTATCCAGAATGAACACCAATATTCTTAATATCTCCAACAAACATTTTTAATATTTCCTTGCTGTGCAATTTCCTTTACCACATCCTCTTCATATGAAGACTTCCAATTAGCTTATAGTAAGTAAAGTTCTTTTCTGAACTTCTGCGCTACATCTCTCTCTGACTGCAACAAAAAATTATACTCAATGTTAAACATCAATCAACAACTGAACCATTTTTTGAGCCTGCAGTTTGAATGATGTTGTGAATGTTTTGTGGCTGCTGAAAATGCGGAGCATCTAGTGACAATCTCCATCCTTCTAGTCAAACTCATTCTCAGATGGACGACTAAGATCTTATTCAGTCTTTGTCTTGTGCTGTTTAAAAGTGAAATTTTGACAGTGCCGTTTACAAAATGTTTGCCAACACTTCTGCGATTGGTTACAAACATTTTAACTGCAGAGCGTGTTAGTAGTAGGATCACTTCAACATGAGCTTCTTTTGCCTACAGATGTGTTCCACCTAACCATGTTGTAAAATAAATGAGAAAAATCTATAGCCTACTAGTAATAGAACAAACGTTACTAGCTAAGTCAACAATGCAATCAAAATGCTCTTTTCAAGGAATTGATTTTTTATGTTCTACAATTGAGATCAGTCGTAGCAAGAATCTGTTTGAATTTAAAGTTTTATTTGAAAATGTGCGCACCGAGCAATCACAAGAGAAAAGCAATGAAAATTTTTCGCCATTGAGAGCTTATGCTAGATGCTAGCGGTGGTGAGTCATGCAGCAGACTTCAAAATTATTATGTGATCGATGGAAGATTGAAAATCTAGGGTCACACAATTTCTGATAAAAAGTTATTAGAGATGTGATTTGATGTAAACTTTCTCATGATAGCGATTACGTGATGAACAGATGCTCACGTCGTTTAACCTTCTCAAGCCCTTGAATTTCTTGTAATCTCACAAAAAACATCCACATTTTAGTGAACGTTGCACAATGAAATGCACAGCACCTGCGACAACTGCCTTATTCGGAACGTAGTCGAACTTCAAAGAATGCTTCAAGAAAAGAACCAGTCGCTTATCCTTTTCCTAACTATCAAAAAGGAAACATACATAATCTGCAAGAAAACTGGTTTGATCTAAGTAGTCACATCTTCTGATAGTCCGGAAAATCCAGTTTATAAATAAAGTCTAAGCAAAGCATATTTATAATTTCGTTTCCGCAGCTAATTGTGGCTAAGAAACTGCGCAGCAAAAAAGGCTCTGCAACAGTGTGGAGAAGCGCGTTTCCTGAAATTATGCCTATACGTTTGCTTGTTGCTGCATATTGAGCCTCCTTCGCTTTAACAAACTATCAAACCAGCACTACCCTAAAACTTGACGCAGCGGCTCTATCTGCCACAAACTTGATCAATATTCTGTAATCATCGTTAGTTATCTATGATCTACAAAAAGCAGCAAATAACCGCTTTCGAGTTTCGCAGGAATACTTATACATACCTAATTTTCTGAGTGTTTTGATCGTATGTAATGACAGTGACAAAAACACTACACGAAGGGT